CCAATTTATGATTTTTCATTTACACACAATATCTAGAACAATTTCTCTTAACCGCGTAAGCTGTTTGTGTGCTCGCGGAACCAATTTATTATTTTACCTGTGCACCCAATATCTAGAACAAATTCTCGTAACCATATACCCTATTTATGTGCTCATAGAGCCAATTTATTATTTTTCATTTACACACAATATCTAGAACAAATTCTATTCACCGCTTACACTATGTGTGCCTATGTAGCCAATTTATTATTTTATTTTTTTTCTTTTTCTCAAAATTGACTAATTGTTCTTTGGTATACTCGGTCGGGGTACATGTGTAATGAAGAATGAGAAAAAAAAAGGAGGAAATTTTTTTTTTTTACTTAATTATTGATCTTTTCATTTTTTTTTTCTTTATTAAATATATACAGGGATGATGTTTGGGAAAAATTATTTGTAAGGACCTTAAAAAAAGAAGCACATGACTGTAGGCGTTATTACTATAGAAAGTTGTACACATAAATTTCCTTGTTCTGAAAAAAAGAGAAACGGAAGATTTTAAAAGCAGCAAAAATTTTTCGACACATTCTGCCACAACATTTTCATGCTTTACGCTTATATATTTAGGGGTTGCTATAATTTAGATGCCCCCCCCCCCGTTATACGCTTTTTTGACATATTACGCGCTTTAAATTTTTCCCTTTTGTTTTGCATATATGTGTTCTTCTATTTGTAGAACACCGCGAGAAAAATATATTGCGTATACGTTCACATCTGAATATGTAACCATATACATTTATATTTAATTACTCATGAAAGGAAAAAAAAATAGCTCTTTATTTTTGATCCCAGTTTTATTATTGTCACACAAGGTAACCTATAAAGATAATTTTTCCATTAGACCAAATAAATTATCATGAAAGAAAAAAAAAAGGAAAAATATATTTAATTATACTGAAGAGCAAATTAGAAAAAAGGACAATAATCATGATGCGCTCAATTTCCTTCTTCCATTTTCCTTCTCAGGCACATAATGTATTATTAGAAGGAGCAATTGAGACGATTTCAGAGTGCAAGAATGAATATGAGCAACGTGAAAGTTGTTATAAAGTAGCTAAATGTTATCCCAGCAATGGGAAAGATGTAATGCAACAATGGTTAGAAGCGATTAATGAAAGACGAACTGAGCACAATTTACAATATAGATACGACATTGCAGAATTCAAAATAAAGTATACACAAATGAATGAAAAAAGAACTAGCCGCATGTTGAATGAATCCATTTACGAGGAGCAAAACACTGTAGACAACGAGTACATGGTGGATTTGTATAATAAGGATAATGATTTTATAGTGAAATATTTTACGAATTCAATGGTAAAATGGATACAGGGAGAGAAAATATCAGGAAGGTCAAAGTATAGTGTAAGTATTTGAAAAGAAGGGGAAGAGGCATGAAGGCATATGCGGACATGTATATATATGAGTGTACTATTTAAGGAAGCATAGAATTAGAGTGTTTATATAAATGTGTGTCCTCTTTTTCTTTTCTTTTTGCATATTATAGGAGAGAATATGGGACGATATGAGAGAAGTATTCAGGGAGTTCTCGGAATATATAGGAAACGATGAGAATGAATTCAGGGTATTATGTGATGACGAAGTAGAAGGTGAAGAGAAAATTAAGGAAGAGGACAAGCCCGTGTGCGAGATAGCAGCAAAGATATTGTCATACATGGATGGAGTCCACAGTAAGGAAGGAATGAAGACAAGTGGGGATGGGGAAAGAGGAGAAATAAGGTCAACTATAAGATGTATAATGGGGAATGCATATATATGGGAGTTATTGAGAAGGACCTGTGGAAGGAAGGATGGTATAGAATACGCTATGCGTGCCATCAGACAACTGAAAAATGATATGAAGAATGAACACAATGATGGAGGATGTGTTGACTTGCATTGGGAAGGATTAAATATGACAGACAAAAATATTGAAGAAACAGGTGCAGGACGGATAAGAGATAATAAAGGCATAATGGGAATAATGGAACAGATAAACATAAATGATGAATGTACAGGACTAAATAAAAACGGAGCAAGGGTAAATAGTATGGATGATGTTAATGGATTAAGGAAGGAAATAATGGAACAAATAAAGAGGCTGCAAGGAGCAGTGGGAGAAATAAGGAAGATTGTGACGGGGGAACATATGGGCATAGAACACACAGGGAACCTCCCTGTCAATACTGGTGGACACATGCCCCCCTCCAATGCCACAAGCCCGAATAAAGGAAGTACAGAGGGTAACACTATAGCTAGGACCGGTGAAACCGACGATGCGAACCCTATCATGAAAACCACAAGACCTACAAGCGTGAAATTGGAAGCATCAAAAGGTAACAAAGGTGCGAGTGCCAATGATAATAATAAACAGGAACAAAGCTCAAGACCACATGACAATGTCACCAATCCTTTTGGGGGTACAGGTAATATTCAAATTAGTACAGGGACCATATCACCATCGTCATCGCCCTCATCAGGATCACCAACACCAGTACTAACAGGAACGGCAGAAAATGCTCAGCTAGCGGCGACAGAATCGGTGGCACAGAAAGAGGCACCGAAGACACAGGAGCGGGAGAATGTTGCCTCCGACAAGTCAGATGAGACCGCTGAGCACAGCAAGGAGGATCTGGTGGTATCAACAGATGTAAGTCCCGGCGACCAGGGAAGACTGGGTGAAGAAGGAAACAGCGGTCACCAGCATGACAAGGCCAGTGCCTCGAATCAAGCTCACAGCGAAGGAGACCCCAGCAACAGAGATGGGGTGCAGGCGGCAAAGGAACAGAAAAGTAAAGACGACCACTCTGCTCCCACAACCACAACGGGTGATGCATCACACGTCAAAGCGACAGCAGCAGCATCCTCCGAGATAGCATCCACACACACAGTACCAACAGGAGCACCAGCATTATCACCTCCAGGAGATGAAACAATACAAACAGCAAAGGACACAGGTCAAACTACTCCAGGCACAGGAGAAAATCAACCATCCGGACTATCTGCAGTAGGTGGAGGAAGTACGGAGCCTGCGAAGAATACTGATCCCACAGGTCAAAACATAACATTGGATTCAACAAAAGCTCCCGAAGTTGCTGCGAATCCCGTGTCCACTAAGGACGTTGCCGTCCCCGATGGAGGAAAAGATGACTCTCCTCCACGTGACCCCTCCGGAAACGTCGGATCCGACGTCAATGCAGAACAATCGAATCCTAAGAAGGACTATACAAAGGATCCATGGGATTTCACTGATATACCTGGTTTCCATGATTTTTCCGTTGTCGATGGGAAAAGAAGTGGCACTGCTATTCATGGTGGTTCCTCTTCCTCCAGTGCAAGTGGAATAACTGTGAAACCAGACATACGTGCTCCCCTTGCTACAGATAGTGTTCCTACACCTGGCAGTGAACCAAATACAAATATCACTGTTCCAAATGAAAATGGACATTTAGGATCAAACGTAAGTGTACATGGAACTGCTAATGACACAGTTCACACATTAAAGAATAAAAATGACACAAGCGAAAAGGATTTGCAGAAGCATAATTTTAGAAATAATGATATGCGGCATGGCGAACCAAAATTGGAACAAACTAGAGGTGCGAAAGGATATCACAAGGATAGTATCATGAATGATGAAGCACAAGGGAGAGAGCATGTAAATGAAGATATTTTTATGACAAGTCGAGGTAGTAACCACTTGAATAGCCTTAATAATTTGAGTAATCGTAAATTAAATATAGATCAATACAAGAGCAGAGATGTCAATGCAACAAGGAAAAATATTATATATCTCTCTGAAGTACGCAAGTGTAATAATATTATTTCTTTAGTGTACTGCAAATCTACAGAAGACAGAACGTCGTCAGGCACTTGTTCTAGGGAGAGAAGTAAAAATTTGTGTTGTTCAATATCGGATTTTTGTTTGAACTATTTTGTGGCTGGTTCCGATGAGTATTTTAATTGTATGAAGAAGGAATTTCAAGATCCATTATACATGTGCTTTACAACAGGGAGCTTTAGAGGTATGTAGAAAATGATGATAAATAGACGAGCATGTTATGTAAATAAGAAGAAATTGATTTTACGAATGTTATAAAAATTTCTGCAACCAATATTCTTTTTGCAGACAAGGCTTATTTTGGCGCTGGGGGAGCGTTGCTGATACTGCTGTTCTTAGTTGCTTCATGGAATATAGTTAAAAATGAGTAAGCGAAGACTAAAATAAAAATGAGAATAAAAATTAGAGTAAAGAGTATAATAACACTTAGAATAAAAAATAAAATAACAATTACAGGGGGAAATGAAATAAAATAATATAAAATGAGAAATAATGTTAGTGTACAATTAATTCTGAGTATTCCATTTGTGCAGTTTTAAAGAGATTGAAAATGCGTAATCATGATGTACACACATATAAACACATATACATATATGTACGTATATATAATAAATGTACATTTCCTTGTTCGTACAGTCCTGAAAAAGCTCCATTTAATGAATTTGAAGAATGCCATGATAATATTCACAACATGCCCCTGATACATACAAGTAATTCAAATTTCAAAAACAAAATTTCATTTAAAGAGAAATATTATATCATTTTGCTCTATTCTTTTTATTTCTTCTTTAAATATAGAACACATTCAATCATCAAATCCCGCGGATTATTCATGGCGCTACGTTGATAAACCAAAGCAATTCAGAATGTAATGCTGATACAATTTTGGTCACTTTGCTTGATTCAATAGAGGAGAAAATATATCGAGCTTGTGCAAGAATGATTTACATACACGGTAAGAATTATTTTTATTGTGTATCTTTATATAAATGTCTAAATTAGAACTAATTGCTTCTATTTGCAACAAGTGTATTTCCTTTTATTGGCCTGTAGGATTTTTAATCCTTTTGCCAATAGAGCAAAAGTTCGTTTTACTGTAATTTACAACTTTTTTTTTCCTTTCACCTTTTTATTTTGTTTTACATATTAACCAACAAAAAAATACAATGTTAATAATTTGAATAATATGTATGGAAGGAAAAAAAAAAAAAAAAAAAAAGAGGGGACAATGGGACATAACACGTTTGCCGTGAGTATAATCTTTACTAATGCATGTGATAAGGAGCCCATTACCGTGGAAAATGAATTATCACACGGAAGGAAAATTTCATTTTTAGTTTTCTGTTAAATGGAGTATAAGTACATTTTTCTTATGTATATTTTGAACATTATAATTGGGGTCTGTTATCATTTTGTAGGAGCTTTTTCTTACACCTTCGTGCTTCCGCACACATGTACTTATTCTTCCATTCGTAGGCTATGTATTAATAGAGATTCCTTAATGTTGTTCAATAATAGCATTATAGACAGACGGTCATTTTGAATTTGCACATAACGTTATCGTCATTTGTGGAACAAGGATGACGAGGTAATGATGTAACAGGAAGGGGAAAAAGTTTTTTATCATGTTTTCTTTTTTTCCTAACGTAGTTTCACATTTATTTGCTTCAAAAGTTCAGTTTATGAATGTTATATTACAACATGTTTATGGTGGAGAAACTCCTGAGGAACATGTTGCATAATAAATATCCGAAAAAGTACAAGAATTCTTAAGAATATTAAAGGTCCATACGAAGTAATTATTGGCAAAATGGGGGACTCGTTGTTCGTATTTGTGTTCTTTGGATCATTGCATTACAGCAGCAAATAGAAATTCAACGAGTAATCGAAATTTTAGGGGGTCATGGCAAACTGTTAGGTGCACACTGAAGTCCAAGAATATGTTGTAGTTATCTGTATAAAAACATGTAAATGTGCAGAATTGTTTTTTCTATATTTTTTTTCATTTTATTCATATAAATTTGAATAGTAAGATGCTTTCCTCCCTTACATAATATTAGATTTTGTGTATGGGGTTTATATTATATTGTTGAGATTTTTTATAATTAATATGTGTATATTAGTTACCATCAGCACCAACCTTTTCTCCCGTTATGTAATAAAAAAAGGGAAAGTTCATATATTTGTTCGTTAATGTACTTAATATCCTTTAATTTGTCTTTTTTTTTTTTTTTTTTTTTTTTTTTTTTTTTT